TTTTCATAGTTTTATGAGAGCAATAAGTGATTATGTTAAATTGCCCCAAATTTAGTAGAGTCCAGTTTCAGCACAAAAGATAACATTCTCTGTCAAAGTGATCACAGTTGTCTGCAGAGGTGGAGTGTTGTCCCACCACATCAGAGACTGTTGCCTTGTAACTCCACACCACTAATTCAGAAGAGAACCTGAGGCAGATACTGGAACACTAGAATCAAAACCTGGTCCCACAGATTTCAGTCTTAATGACTATAACTCAGTGTGCCAACAGTGAACTGTTTGGAAAGAAAACACTGCATAAATTGCATACAGTTTGGCATCAAGAAAATAAAAATCCCTGTTAACTTTTCCCATTTCGTGAACTGTCAACCACAAGCCACATCTGCAGAAATCCATGGGTGTAAAGTTGGTAAAATGAAATGTTTTTCTGGGAGGGGGCAGGGATAGAGGGATTGGTTTTGTTTTTCCAAAATATACATAAGAAAACAAAATTTTCAGAGATGCTGCTTAAAAAGGTGGTTCACACAGTTACAGGCAATTAAAGGATATAGTGGAGAGGAAAAAAAGAAAACTTTGATACAGCAATTCTGTCTAGTATTCTTGAGGTTCAAGCAGGCTCACAGACCATATAAATAAATCTACAAACTTGGAAAAATGGAGCACACTATTTCAAAATAGTATATAAGTGTTCCTTTCATACTTTGAATTGCAATCCCAAAATATTTGTTCTTGGTAATTGTAATGAATAATTGGTAATGATGTTGCTTTCTTTGTAAGGACAGTCTGTTGACACTCCATAAAATATCCAGTTGGGTATTGGATGTTGCTGAGCTGTGAGAAATTAAGTGACAGATAATCACTACTAGTAGCCAGCTGAGAATCCATTTTTTATTGTCTTGCACTACTAACATTGAGGGGGGAAAAAAGTCACTGAAACAAGGAGAAAATTACAGGCAGTTTTATAACTATGATTAGGAAGAGAAGTTGGTTATGAGTTAAAGTTCAAATGAAGTTAATCATGACAGCAATTTCCTTTGTTTCAAAATACTGAGAAGTTAGCAGAGACTCCTCTTTTTAGGTTAATTGTATAGCAGATGGTTTAATTAACATAGATTATAGAGGGGATAGAACCACAAAAGGGAAAAAATAAGGAAGATCTATTAGGTAGATGCAACAAAAGTAATAGAAAACATTACTGTGCATCTGAGACAATTTGTAGTGCAAGTTATTGACATAACTCTCAGAATTCTTATTTATTATTCATATTTAGGGCCTCTTGTTTTTTCCAACAAGGTGGCATTAATGTAAAATATAAATGGAAATTACTAAATATTTCAGTTAATGGAAATGTGTATGGATAACATGATCTAAAATATATACTAGTGTACATTACAAAACAATTCACGTGACTCAGTCCAAATAAAAGCATCTGTCTTCAAAAAGCCGACAGGGCTGCTCTTAGAGTCATAGAATCATTTAGGTTAGAAAAGCTCTCTAAGGTCATTGACTCCAGCTGTTATAATACCCACACAAAACTATACACCTTGTATCTAGAGTGCAGATTTTACACTGTACGCTTTATGAAGTATAGATCAGTTAAATCCAATTCACGCTTCAGTCAGAGGGTAAAATGATGTCAATGGGGGAAGTGAGAAAACACAAGTAATTCCTTCAGGAAAATGACTGTTTTTCATGGCAGCAACACTAAGAGCAGGCTATAAGGAACAATGCACAGAAGCTGGTTGTCTCAGAGATCATTATTGATCTGACTGGAGACCATGGAAAAGGAAAGGCACCAACCAGTATACATCCATTTGTGGTAAACATCACATAGTATGCAGAAATATAGGAAGATACTACTGTTTTTCCTCTCTTTTTTTTCACTCTGTCTTTGCTCTTTGTTTCTTCTTCAGTCTTATTATAAACCCTGTCCTCATGTCAAATCATGCACATTGTGTATAGTTAAGGAGGGCAAAATCACTTGAGTCATAGCAACCCAGAAGCAGAAAATGTAATTCAAAGATTGAACTTGAAAGATTATGAACTGTGCTGTAAACAGAGTATTAATTCTTTTTCTGAAATGCAGCACAGAAATATAGGAAATTTCCATCTAAATAGTGCCAGACGAAAAATAGTAAGAAAAAACAAATAAAATCTTAAAAATCATTAAATATGTCAAACAATGCAGGGTAGACCAACATTAGAAAGTAAACTCAACAACTTCTAAAACAGAGGGAAAGTGTATAATCATAATTTTTATACCATAAGAACTGTAACCCACAGAATGATCTCCTGTGAATTTAAATATTTACTTAAGCATGGTTAGTTGCATCTGATTTACTCACTACAGATTAGAAAGAAGGACAAATGAAGCACACTTGGAGACAACTGCTACTTTTCCCTGTGATCTACTTATTTTATATTTAATCTCCACTTTATGCAAGGACCATTAGAATGTATTCTGAGCACAAGAAAGAAGCAAAGCTAGAAATAGTGAAGTACTTGAAGGAATATTTCAGACTCCAGACACTAGAAAAATAAGACTGCAAAATAAAAATATTGTCTTCTTGAAATCCTAACACCTTTTCCGTAAAAAGAGGTTCTTTCCTTCTCTTTGTGTTAAGTACCTTTCATGCTATCATTGAAGAATAAGCAGCCCACTAAACAGATCAGAAAGGTCCTTCCTCATGAAAAAATGTAGTTTCCAATACAGATTTCTTAACTGTGACATATTCACTTTATTTCACTGATTTCATTAGTTTACCTAAATCAACTAATCAAATATACTAAACTGATTTCATTACTACTTAAGTCTGTTTAGCTTACAGGTAATGAATCAAGATAAACAGATACAAGATCTCAAAAAGGAGCAAAAGCATGAATAAAGGACTAAGATTAATTGTTTCAGGTAAAAAAACTAACACTAAGATCAAAGAAATTCTGTGGTTGTTTCACCCTTTTGAAGTGGACAGTGTCACCTCAGTTTTATGTTTCACCAGCAAGAACTGATTGCCTGGAAAGGTGATTTTAAAGTTGCACAAATTCACAGTGCATTTGAACTCTGAACTACTTGAACTGTTATCAACACAGGATAAGGTACTGTGTGAAGGCAATGGTATTTCATCTGTCTTTCTCTTCCAACAATTTAGATTTACCTTACTGCATTGCTCTGACTCAAACGTGGTCAATCTGCAGTATGGAGTATGCAGTATCATTGGAGTATGAATTCACTGACTGACTTAAAATGTTAGGGTTATTCAGTTCTAACAGATTCTATCCAAAAGCAGCTATTATTAAAATTCCTAAACCATTAGGATTCATTGTCTAAATAAAAAACCTGCACAGTTAAGGCATAGCAGAAGTCTCTCATGTTTCCAAAAGCACACCTACAAACATGCACCTTCAGGTTTTTTTTAGGAAAAATCTCAATTTTTCCTAAAGCAATCTCAAATAAAAACATAAAACATACCAGCAACATCAGACCACTAGAGCTGAATATTTAAGATATCAGTTTTGACAAGCTCCCAAATAACTTTGTCATTTCTACTTCTTCAGTACAGATTCTAGTTAAAACTCTAATTCAAATCCTAGGCTCCAAACACTGTTTCCTAGTTCTACCTTAAGAACTGAGGATAAAATCCTGAAAACCAAACAAACCTCTCCTTGTGTTTCCCCCACTCCCCCCCAAAAACCCCCAAAAAAGTTTATGTGAGTATCTTTACAGGCAGCGTACAGCCTTAGGAGAACAGAATTCAGTTTGCCAAAGTAAAGAAACTTTTTAATTTTCTATTTTTGTTCCTAGGAAATCATAAAACTCTACCTCCTTTAAATAAACAGCCATATTACCAGAGCTTTGGGATCACTAACACTTGACAGTGAGCCTTCCAACATTAAAAATAATTTTAATTGTTTAAATTCCAGAACTAACTTACACCAGGAAGCAGCAGAGAAGTTCACAACCTCATGGGTTATGCACAGCAGAATAGCAGAGAATAAGAAGTTTATATGATCTGAGTTGCCAGCCATATAGTGCTGCTGAAGGTAACCACTGGTTTTGAAGGGTATCTGCCAGGTCCAGGAGGGTGAGTTTTTGTGATTCTGAAAATACTCACCTCCAGGTAATTTCAAAATCTACCTCAGCACTGCACTTTTTCACCACGGTACCATATTGTGACTTGGATTAATTACAGGTTCCATTTCATGTGAACCATTTGACATTTCATGTTTCTGAATGATTAGGTAAAACCCCAGAATTCTGAGTAGCAACCTTTTATCATGACATAGAAATATCTACACATCAATCAGTACGAGTCCACAGACTTCAACTGAGCTATTTCAACCCAGGTAAAGTGAGGCTCTGGATTCTACTCTTTGTTTTGAGGTGGTTCACAAGGTATAAACAATAATTTTAAAGTGATAATTCTCAAAACCTTCAAGCTATGTGCTCAAGAAACTAAATCCCATCAAAAACAGCATAACTTAAAAACACTGTTATTTTTATACTCAAAAATCTCTCAACAATACAGTGCTTGATTCCAAAACACAACAGAAGTTCATCTGCACATTATCAACATAAATTCCCAAAGCTTTAAAGATCCTTTTGAGGGAGAGAATATTGAAAATTATGCCTATAAATGAAGAAACACGTTTCCCTCAGCAAAATAATCAAATAAGAGCTTAGATAACTGAAAAAAATATGTAGATAAACCCAGTTCTGCTGCACTACAGGGATTGAATCACATTTTGCTATTTTGGCTTTATTATTGTGAGGTATTAGACCTTTGGCTCCATTTGCCTCTTGGTTTAGCATTTATTATGACTTCAACTGACAAAATCGAGGTGTAAGCCGTCACAAGTTGGATGCTCACCCTTTGACAATTAACATTCTCCAAGCAGAATTCTGCTGAGCAGAAAACCTTAGCAGATTTAATTACTCAATCACTACTGAAGGTTATCATTTATTTTTGTGCACCAAAAGATGCACATCTGTCTGTACTCACCCTGGTGGGCAGACACAACCTGACACACAAGGAAGGTGTGCTGAGAAAGTGAGATTTAGCAGCTGATTTTCACAAGTTCTCTCTCTGCTGAGTTCAGGATCAACTTGTGGATTACTTGTGCAGTTAATATAAATCTGTCCAACTGGGCAGTTGTGTGCTGGGGGAAAAATTGACAAACACATTGATCTTCATAGTCGAAATTTTGTATCCAGTAATACTACTAAACATCCAATTGCCTCTCATTGCTAAACATAGTTAACTTCATAGAACATCTATAAGTCTCATATATAATACTGAAATTAATATATTCCTTTAGTAAGGGACATGACTTTCTAAATGGTTAGTCAGGAATCAGTCCAGACATGCAAAGTACTACGAACAGAGAAACATATTTCAACAGAAAGAAAAAGATACAAAGAATCTGAGAACTAGATATGACTTTCCATGCTGGAGCACTGACCATGAATAAAACAACTCTCTTGCAAAATTGCTGTAGGGCTGCACTGAGCATACTGTGTACACAAAACAGAAATGCCAGAAGTAGTCTCAGCATTTTAAATTGATTTTGGTTGGTTGCTGGGGTTTTGCTTACTTAATTATTTGTTAAGGAGAGAGGTCCTGGAAAATTGTAAAATTGGTAAAACCACCACCTTCAAGTGCATGGGGAATTTCTGGTCAAAGAGTTGGCAATTCCAGAATGGAAACCTCAAATAAATAAAAATGTTATTCCCAGTGAAGTAAAACACACGTCATAACACGAGTATGGACCATAATACTTAATGATATATAAAATATACTGTAATAGAAAAAGCGCTTGTAACATTGTATTGCAAAGTATGACAAAATATATTTTTTTTTCATATTTCTGTTACTCAGAGTTTGTGAAGAGAAAGAAAACATTTGTAAAAAATTAATGCCAGTATTCAATTCCTACACTCATGTTTTATGGGGCAAAGCAAATTTTTGTTTGCCCTGCTGAAAGTCTGCTGTTTATCATGCAGCTAAGCTTATCTGCATTAGCAATCTAAAAAATAAATATTTTAAAGCACTGGGGAATAAAGTTGCTCAGATTTAACAGTATTTTGAACAGTTATACTGCTGCTTTGCACCAGCCTTGTTTTCAAATACACAACCATATAATTTCTAAATTATGGATCCTCTCCTGGAAGTTATTAATTTGTACACATTGCACAATCTTCTACTACAGGCAAGAGGTTCCACAGGGATTGGAGAATATGTATTCATTGGACTTGAAGTATCTTTTACCTCTCTCTTCACTCACCTATTATGTTGTTATCACAATTCATTACTCCATCACTGCAATGGCTGCAATAAAAATATACAGAGATATAATGAGAGCCGGGAAGATCTGAAATATTAATGTTTTCTATTTAATAATGAAGCATGCAGTATAAGTCACTACAAATTAACTGTATAAATGTTTTCACTGAACATTAGAACTGTGGATAAAGTGTGCATTGCCTTAACACATGAAGAATATCAGTTACACTTCAAACTTTTGCTTTATACATAATGTTATTATGAGTTAAGATACCTGGCCTGACAAAAGAATATATACAGGAACATACCACTATACTGCTCCCTAAATATCAATGCAGTAATAATAAACCAAGCCACAAACTTAAAAAAATTGTTATTATCTGAAACAAAAATGCAAGGAGCAATAGCAACAAAACCAAACCCTAAACACATATATGCACAGGATACAGCAAGCTCTGGGTATGTACTCATATATGAACATTCTTAACACTCCATTTTTCTCACCATAATCATAGAACTCTGCTAAAAAGCAAGCTACTAGTTTAGGTGAAAATCTTGATGACACCAACAGTTCTTAAGTTATCCCACAGCTGAAGGCAAAACCACAATGTTGAATATAATAAAATCACAAGTTATTGTATCTGCAACAATATTTTGTACTAGAGCGACTTTTACCCAAGCACAACATAGTAACAGCAGATCGGTAACTTGTTCTTCTCTCAACCACTCCTAGCATGAATCACAAACAGGTATCTACCAGCAAATATCTGACAAGATCGTGGATTTCCATCTAATTTATAACAAAATGAATGTTTCAATTACTTTAGTGTTACTGCTTCACAGAAGGAAACAGTGAAGCAATTGCTAAATTTCATCCTCATGCTGTCTCAAAGTAATTTTGCTTCAGCAAAATGATAAGAATCTGAAATCACAGCCTACTGTGGCTATTATCAGAACCACCTGGAACTACAGTTCATAATCAGAACCCAAAAAATTTCAAACAATTCCAAGCTAATCAAATATTCAAAATAAAAATTTTCAGCTACTCTATCATAAAGTTGTAGCATGTTTACCCACTCACATACGCAAAATACCACACAGACAGGAACAGACGAAACATTTCTCCCCCTACGTGAAACAGTTCAACACTGCAGAAAACTCAACCCTACCAAGATACTCTATGCAGGGAAGCACCGAGAAACCTAACACTGACTGCTCCAAGCCAAAATGGTCCAGTACTTTTACAAAATGGTAGCAGCTCTGGTTGCAACTTGTTGTCAGGGAAAACTGAAGCAGTACTGGCTTCATTTCATGTCCTGTGCTTCACTAGAGAGCCTGAGCCCATGAACTCCAGCACTATTCTTCCATTCTTTGCAATGGCTGAGACATCCCCAGTGTCCTTACACTAGTCGGCAGATTCGGAATCAAATTCTGCATGTGCCACAGCCATTCTGTAAATACTTCTGGAGTTTTGTTTGGACCCCAAAGCCCTGCAGGGAAAGTTCTCGAGGACTCCACAGTATAACCCAGGCGACAGGCAAAGCAGTACCAAAGGCAACACTGCACCCAGCCTTTGCACAGCCCCATATGCAGAATGGCCTGCCTGACACTCTCCAGGAAATCTGCCCTAAGGTAAAAATCAGCCAACTTGATGATTAAGATATAGATTTATAATGATCAGTATTTATGAACTGCTGATAAAAGTGAAAATGAGTCTAAGTGCCCCTATTGCAATAGGTGTCCGAAAATACCAATCTCTTATATGGCCTTTACAACAAACCAAAGTATTATGCTGATAATACTTGTGATATCCATCATAGACATTATTTGTTCTGTTCTGCTTTTAGTTAAGTTCCAAAGAACCTCTGTCAAATATGCATAGAAAACAGGTGTACCTTTACTCTGTGTGTTTCCTTAAAAAAAATACCGAAAGAACAAAACCCAGCATTCTAGCCAGAATGATTTGACAGAACTCTTAAAGTGATACCATTTAGTCACGTGAAAACAGTTTTGTATCTTACCATTTGCCTAAAGATGTCATAACATTTTCTCCAGGGGGATAGTCAATTCCTTGAAAATAACATGGGCATTCATTTCTGGAGTAGAGAAAAAACATGAAACTGATTACCCAAACTGAAGAAAAAAAAAATTCCCACTGACATAATTGCTGTTCAAATTTCAATTGGTTGCTTTGTTGCTTTTGGTGAGGTTTTTTTTTTGTTGTTGTTGGCTGGGGGTTTTGCAGTTGGTTGGGTTTTTTTAAAAAACAAGAAATTGGTCTCAATACTGCCATATAACTCAAGCACATCCAAACCAAATCAGTAAGAAAGTAGAACCTTATGTTTCCTATCTTTCATATACCAAAAAATCAGACAAAATGTAACAACTAGTGTTGATGATGTTGGACGAGTGTCCATATTATAGAAAAACTATTTTTTAATCAATACAGACATCAGTTCTGTATCATTCTAAGACCCTGACAAGTTTACAGACGCATGTCATCTACAACATTACATGTTTATTAGCTTTTCACTCTGACTTGCAAATGCAGTGGTCTAAAAGAGCGAGTGTGACTATCGGAACCGCAGCTTTACCTACCTCTGTACACATCGTTCAGTCTTGGAATTCAAATACATTCCAGAGGGACAAGCACAGCCTTCAACACAATCACTGCTGCATGTCTCTGGCACAGACAGTGCTTGGCAGGTTCTGCCACAGGTAGATACACAAGTACTGTACTCCTTTGTATCTTCACATGAAAGAGCTGTCCAAATGAAATGAGTCTCTCAAATTACGGTGCAAGAGACTCAAGGACCTCCCAACACTTTTCTGATAAACATCTCCATTCTTTCACTCCCAATCACATTAAATTCCACTAAAATTGCTATCTTGGCACTATGTGGTGTAAACTACACAGATGTAAATCCACAGTAATAACAAGTGTGATGAGCCTGTGCAGTTAATCCAGATTTTCACTGGGGAAACTGAACAACTGAAGCCTTTTTACCTCTTAACTCTGAAAATGCTTAGCCCTTGTGCATGGGCTTTTGGAAACCCAAAGCATCTTAAATAAACTGTTGAAAGCAATACGTAAAATGTATATACTTTGCAGATGTTGCACAATACCATCTTAAAATTTCTTTTATATATCTTTATCTATCTGTATATATATGTCTCCTATGCTACTAGAAAAAAAAATCTGAAGTTCTTGAAATACTAAAAAGATTCACATATTTTAAACCTTAGAAGCATGAAGTTTAGAATATATTACAGGAAAACTATACTTGCTTCTAGAAAAGTAAAATAAAACCAAATGGTTCAAATGACCCATTCAGTCATAGTGGGCATGGCCATTCATGCCAAAATGAATGCAAGCAAGCCAGTTTTTCAGATATACATACAGAAACTTAAACTGGACCAACTTTCCTATATCATCTTTATCATGCATTACAACATGGATAATGTTGTGACATGTGTAATGATGTGACAACAACTGCTAAATCTTAAATTCTTGAATGTTCCTTAGAAAAGCCTTGTTAAACCTACTGAAACATCAGGGGTACAAATTTCATGTTGTTTTATAGGGTTTCCAATTCTATAATTTTTAAAAAATGTACATGAGGGCACTACATGTCCTATCAATATCTTTTGCATCACTAGAGGTTAATATAAATTAAAAAGCTTATTAATATTATCCCACTCCTCTACTTGTGAGGCTTTATAAAGCAGATACAATATGTCACCTTTGGCTATCTAACATTTATATTCTTCTACTCATTTTAAACTACACGTCAACAATACCAATTTTCAACACTTACTTAAGCACTCTGCGTATTTCAGCATCACTGACAGTAAGAGTATAAGCTAAGACAGACTGTCAGACAGCAGTCAGTTGGCAGTAATCCAACTAAAACTGCTGAATACATCACCATCGTTTGTCACCTCATTCATTTAAAGAATTAGATAAACCTAGCACCTCTGAGGAAACGAACAAATCTATATATGCAGCTCATGAATAATATCTACATGGTATGAAATACGCAATGGCATATAAGAGATTCAGACATATTTTTAATTCTGTGTACATTTCAAGCCCTCCAACTACTTAAAAATAAAATCTTTGCAATGTTTAACAAACCATGAACTAAAGGAAGTAAACTGTAAAGGAGCAATCCCCTAAGAACACTGGTATTAAATTCTGTCCGGACAAAAAAGAACCTTGTCCTGTGTGCAAAAGATCATGCTGGGATTAATCCTCTTCTCATTTAAAAGATTATATTAATTTATTTTATTTTCCAAATGTCATTCTAAAGTCCTCCAACAGTAACCATTTAAGACCAGAAGTGAAAGGAAACTCACCACATTCTGGGACAGCTCCTCTGAAATCTATTACAACTCCGAACCTTTGGCAATGATGAGCGTAATGGGCCAGAGCAGAGCAAAAACAAGTCTGTCCACATTTGCAAGTGTCTCTTCTGCACTGCTCAAAATAGGGAACAGGACTCAAATAGGGGTAGCATGGAGCAAAAAGATCTTTCGTAAGGATGCTACAAGCTTCCGCTGCATAAGAGGCTACACAAATAACAGATTAAACACTGTTTCAGTGAAGGAGTTTAAAAAGACTTGGAACAAAAAGTGTTTTCTATACAATGCAACTGGTCATGGTTATATACTTCTGCCATGTAATCTTTTTATCTCTGATATCTATACAACTGTACAGTAGAAAAAAAAAAGTTAGCTGCGCATAGTGTTGAGCTTGTTCTTGGTATGATTTTAAGGTGTTCAGAAAACTTTACAATACACAGATAGTGCCTACAGTCAAGTCTTCTACCTTTCAACTGATTCATGGAGGTGAGTTAGGCAACAGGTGCTATAAACTGACCAGTGCCTTTGGCAAACACATATTTCATTACACATCACTTTAGCTTAAGTCCATCACTTTAGCTTAAGTCATTCCCAATAAATACTTCAATAGGTCAGTATTGTAAAGAATTATCTATTACCCATTGCTTCAGTTGCATAAGGCTGCACCCAGCACCAGAGCTGCTGGTTTGTCACACAGGAGAGCAAGAGCAGTATCAAATAGCTATGTAAGAAGCTCCAAACACAGCACTCACCTGAATATCTCAATTCTGAATGAATCAAATAGTTGTGCAATAGTGGTAAAAATAAATAATATGCTATATTAGCATACCAATGAAGAGATAAATTTACCACCAAAAAGAGCATAATGTATAAACTAGGACTTCAAAATCCCTTTTCCAGAATTTCTGACTTCCTATACAGGCTAATTCTTTCCACATTCACGTCCAAACCCGTTACAAAGAATACAGCTTCTTAATACTGCCTACTGTATAAATACTCAAAAGACAGATGCTGTTGTAGCAAGAGGCATGATGATTCCCTAGCACTGCTGAAAGCACAGGTAAACCCTTAACATTTTACCTTTATGTCTCAACAAGTGTGTAGAGACGAAGATAAGATGTGGTAGGAACTGTGAAATGGATATAACTGATGATCTACAAAGTTCATCATTATTAAAGAATGACTTAGTGACCATCTGTGGTCCTCATGGCACCACCCACTAGCATATTTCCCCAACTGGACCCTTGTAGCTGAATCTAAAGACTGTCAGTGCATCAGCATTTTTCTCCTACTCATCCTCTTCAATGGTAGACAACTAAATCAAGTATTTAATTTTTGTAGTATTTTCAAAAGCTGCAATAGTTTTTAGTTTCCATCTTAACTAGCAGCATCACCAATACTAGACATACTATCAACCTTTAATGCATGTCTAACTTAATAAAGCATAACTGAAAACCAGAAATAAAAAGGGGGTATTTCAAGTGCCTCTGCAAGGATCCTTAAACAATACACACTATGATTTCTTAGAGGATTGAACTCAGCACATGCTACCTGTAAGTAATAATTATTTCAGTGGGTAGGACTGGTTATTCCTTTACCTGATCCAACTAGGAAAATGAGCACAGATGTACTAAGTAGAAAGTAATTTGCCAATAACAATTGGCCTTCACTGCCCACCTGCCTGCAGATGAATATCACAGGGATCCATTTGTGAACTATCATGCACAACAATGCACGCCGATGAAGTCTTCCACGTGTTTCCAAACAGCTCTGGAGTGCTTTCAGTTACTCCAACTGGAGATCTTTTACAAAACAGAGTTCAGTCAGAAAAGATACAATGAATGTACAAAATAGTCTCAGTTCTACCATGTCGATTCAAGCTCCCCTTGCACTGCTCCATATTCTCATGCTCTCTCCTCTAAAGCACTGTCAGCTTAAGCTTCAGGACTCTTCTTTCTTTCCAGGCAAAGGCCCAGGAAGGAAAGACAAGATGTGAACTAGAGCTGTTAAATACCTTTTAAGGAAGGAAAGATCAAAATAGACCAAGTTTTGTTCTTATAAGAGAGAAGGAGGATGCACCACTGTCCTGACAGTCTGCACTCTCTTATTCCTACTTTTGCTTTCCCAGTGATATCTGATCCATTTTTCTCTATCCTCTACCTATATTTTCCTGTCTGTTTCTGGGTAGCTGTATTTCCATGCTCTTTATTCTCTGCGAGGAAAAGGAAGGGAAAGAAATATAAGCATTCGGAAATATAACTGCAAAAGCAATTTAATAGATATCCATGAGGCCCAGGTAATTAGAGGGGCAATAGAAGCTGAATGATAAAGACTGTGATCAAAGTAACCAAGGCAGGTTGTACAGGGAGAATGATCAAAACTGTGCATTTAAATATGGGGTGTTTCATTCTAGGGAAAAGAGTGCCTTAGGCACACAATCAGTAGTATTTCTGCTGGTAAAATAGCTGGGTGTGGAGGTGTTGCAAAAGACACTACTGCCTATGGTAAGTCTCCCAAATCTGGTGTGGATCAGGGTTTTTTGTACACAAATCAAAATGCTTGTACACCATAGTCTGTGTCATGTCTCAGCACAATTCATAACTTCTCAAGTTTAAGGACTTTTTTCTGCAAATACCCAACTATTGAACAACTTCACACTTATATGAGAACAATCCAAAGACTGTCACCAAAAATACACTATCAAACTACTTGTCAAAGAGAAATATTTTAAGCAGTTTTACATAATCTCTTAATTGAGATCTTGTTTATATATTTCCTAGTCTCATTATAAATAATATTCTGATAATACTTTTTAATCAGTAAGATAGATTTGTTAAAAATTCCACTGGCATATTTGCGTGTGTATGTGTTTCCAAATGGGAACTATAACAAAGGTTTTTCATTTTTCAATTACTCTTGATTTAGAAAAAACCCAACTGTTTTGAGAGAAAAAAGTTCTCCTACTCTTTCTTTTCCTATACTGGTAAAAGAAATATTCTGTCATGCTCTATTTTCCTCTTCTTCTCCTAGTTCCACCTGGCTGCTCTAATCCCTCAGAAGCAAATTTGTTCTCTAGCATCTCTGAGAAATATGTTGCAAAGAAGCTGGACAAACAGTGATCTTGACTATAGTACTCAGGCAGCTCTGACCACCTTTCACTGCATCACAACCAAGAGGAGCTCAGGCAACAGCCAATTCCTGTTGCTGACCTGCAGGCACTGAACAATGGAGGCTCTGTCAGAGGCAGCAGGTTCGAAATTGCAACAGAAAATAGGAGCCGGAAAAAGAGAGGCTTGCAGGGAGGCAGAAAGTTCCTTATGTAGGCCACTTCATATTTTGGACAAAACCTTTTCGATAAATTAGCCCTCGAGCACTTTACATATTTCACTGTATTTTTATATTAAAATATTTTAAGCAAAACCTGGCTTGATATCATGCAGATTTTCTGTTAGCAAACTAAAGCCTACTATCTATCTCACTAATGGAAAACTGCAAAATAAATTATTCTTGGTATCTATCCATTCAGCTTCAGTACACATTTGATCTACCACTAACTGTACACATTCATATACTGGAAAATAGAAATCTTGCAGCTATTCATACAAAAAATCATCCTCTGTATTCCCATTGAAGGTCCCACAAAGGCCCGTGGTATCGTCCTTCCACCGTTCATCCACTTGAAGGTAAAGCCTCAGTCCTCCTCTGTCGTACAGGATCTGTAATCCAATGTGTGTCTTTACTTGCAGAAATACAGAGGACAGTTTCCGTATTTCAAATAATTCTGGTGAGTAAAAACAGATTGTTGAAAGGCAAAAGAAACCTGTTTGTAATTTACATTTTGTTTCTTGTCATTTCACTGGTTTTGGTTCATATAATTTTTATCTAGAGTTTCATTTTTTCTTATTAAGACCCTATTTTTCCCCAATCATTGATTTCTCATGCAAGGGTACACTGATTCAAACTTTTAAGAAGAAAATAAGAAACTTGTGAGTGTCACCACTTTTTTAAAATGCATCCAGAGTTCACTGAAATGTTCATGAAAGTAAACTAAATGAAATCAATTTAAAGATACAAACACTGCAGACCACTTCTTGTAGACAAAGTAATCCTAACACCAGGCACATGCTTCCTATATTAAAGTCTATACATCTTTGTGAAATTCACAAAGAGCCAAGGTCTTGCAGACATCAAATGTACTAATGATTTCATTAAAAAGCTCTCATTAAAGCTAAGGTTAAATCTCACAGAACACAGTCACATATTTTAAGTAGAATAACAGATATCTTGAGAGGGAGAGATTTAAAAGTTAAAAGGAAAAAAAAAAAAGGACCAAAATAAATTTTTTATCTGAAAATCTGTAGTTTATCTGTAAGGGGCAAGAGGGCTCCTTTCACCTACATTTCCTTGAGTTGCTTACCAAAAAGGGAAAAAGAGATTATTCAGTTCAAGAATCAGAGAAAATAATTCCCCCTCAGAAAAGAACTAACCAACCTTGCAAGTGTAAGGGGTGGCATGTGGACTTGTTAGAACAAACACAATCCTAACCTAAGAGTCATCAGCCCAACACCGCTAATGTACAACTCCTATTACGTAAAAAGTATGCCAGCAGTTAATTGGCAAAACATTCATAAAAAACTAACAACATTAATATTAAACTATGCCATTTAACTTCAGTATGTTAGCAATACTGACAGTAAACAAACGTCAATAAAATATTTCTTTAGTGTTTGATAAGAATTATATGCTTATATATCATTCCTTACCATCTGCATAAGGTAGGTTAATTTTGTATTGGTCATATATCAAAACATCTCCTGAATGAGTCAGAGTCACTTGCCTCTTGGGATCCTGCTTAAGAATAAGGCTGACTGATTGGATACATGATCCATCCTGGTTCTACAAGCAAGAGGAAAACAAACAAGTAAAGGTATACTTAGTGGGGATTAAAAATTTTAAGTTATACCTTGCTTCTTAGCAGAGTGCACTTGTAAAACATACAGTTTTATAGCTAAGTAAGAAAACTTAGTATTTTGAATGATTTCCCATATATGTTTAACAATAACTCTAACCTGCTATGCAAATACAGCTCGAAAGTGGGATATGTAAAGCGAAATGGAAACAATTCTCACATAGCTTAGTACCAAGACACCTGCAATTCATGGAACCCCCTGATTAAAGACCCACTGAGGCTGAATTACTGCTCACAAACAAGGCTGCATTATCTGTAGAGCAGTGCACCGAAATCCAAGTCTGTACTTTGAAGTGTTCTGATATACCCAGGTTCTTTTAAAGCATATTTAAGATACAAAATTCTTTTGAAGGCAAACAATAATGAAAGACAGAAGTATCTTGTGAATCATTATTTAAAACAGCATATAAGTTGATTATTTCTGAGAGGAGTTGTGCACTATGTTCATAAGCTCCATGGATGAATATTGGTAAAAGAAAGGCAGCATCGTGGAGCATACAATTTCACAACATCCAACAGGCTTGACTTGTTTATTGTTACTACCATTTACTACCATGCTTATTCTTATTTTCATTTCACTTCTCTAAGTCAAAATGAAACAGATATGAAAAGGAATACTGCATTGCAGTCCAGATAAAACATACTAAAAAAAACCCAAACAAACAAACAAAATCATCCTTATTAGGTATTTCTACATCCACCCTCTTCAGTGGAACCAATAGCAGCTAATTGACTGAAATTCTAAAAAACAGAAGTATTTAGTGTTATTTGCAAAAGTTTCACAACATAGAGAAGCTACATGCCCTACAGAAAGAAATTTCAGAACAGCTTAAAGACCAAGAATTGAATTCAAGTTAACTGCTTTCATCAAAACAAAAGTCACCTATTGTGTACTTACTCTAAGTTCTTTGGGTTGGGGTTTTTTTCACTCAGTCAAGTACTGAAACTGATGGGTACCTCAGTGAAGTCCCAAACTACTTAACTCTTACTATAGTCATCTTCAACTAGACATCACACCACATGTGGGAAGCAGCACAAGTCTGAGGGCTACTGAATATTGAACACTTGCAACACGCCACAGCAGCAAATACACTTTTACCAAACAACTTGGAAACAAGTTGGACAGATGACTAACACTAGTCAATTCAATAAAGTTTCCAGGACAGTACTTTCACCTTCCAGAGTAAATACAGGTACTTTGACCTTCAATGCCAATGTGGGAAGAAGGCTTGTTAAAGCATGTTTATCAAATCACAGTAGATTAACAGATTTTTCTTAAAAGAATTTGATCACTACTTAATTTTTTAAAAAGAAAAATGTTCTATCACAGAGAATCAGGCTCAGAGGTGGACTGAGAGATGACTTGAACTATACCATGTCAGCATTCTGTAATTGACTTTGCCACATGTTGAAAGACGACATAATCCCAGTCCACATTGTGCTTTCTCCTTGCTCGAGGAAAAAATTAGGTTTCTGCCACTCCTGCTACACTCAAATCTCTCTACTATAGCTTCTGAGACATCAGCTTATTTACACTGGCTTGGTGTAGCCGGATAAAGCTGAGAGACTGTCCACTCCCTGCCATCTACAGACGAAATGGGGAAGCACTCAACTGCTGTTTCTTCTGCTGAGCCTCCTTCCCTGCAAGACCTTGTAAACATTCAACAGGTATTCAAGAACAATGACAAAAATTGGGTCCAGTCACTTTGGTTACACTATTTGTTCATTTTACTCTCATCTCAATTATGCATCTTCAACATCTCATAATGTCATAACAAAAATATCTCTATTATTAACACCGTTTTCAGCACAACCCCCAAACAGTCTTATATACCAGAACATATACAGACATGTCTGAAACGACTTGGTCAAAGAGCACTCTAGGTCTCACTGCAGAAAATTTCCCATTGATTGGATCTGGAACGGTGCTGCAGTCCAGAAGTGTTCAGTACAGGTATGGGAGGCTGCACTGTTCAGCTCCACTGCCTTCAGTGAAGGCGTAACTAATGATGAAACCGTGAAATTTTAACAAATCTTCAGTGCTGAAAGAGGCACTGAAAAAGATACAGTTAAAATGACCTTTGGACAGTTGCACAAACAGCAGAATTACACAGTGAATAGCACCATTCACAGAGCAAAGAGATTACGATGCTCAGTTCACAGATTTACACTTTTATTCAACTCTGACTTTCACTGGGACTTGTCTAATACAGGGCAAATGTTGCCCTGCTTGATGAAAACCATTACTAGAGCTCAAGGATCTCTGAACACTACCATGTGGATTTCACAGATGCTGAACTAGCAAAGAGAGATCATTTGTCAGCTCTTCAAGTACCATGGACACATAAATACACACAATAGTATGCAAAGATTAAAAACCACATGCAGAATTTCCCTGTCTCTAGAGACTAATTCAACAGTGATCTTTCACCAACACCTGAAATGATAAAATGAAACTAGCAAATTAAAATAGCAAATTATAAAAATAACTAGAGATATTTCATCAGCTCAACCAGCTCCTCCAGACTGACAGTGAAGACAGACATCTGCCTTGTGAAGTAAAGCCTTGTAGCATATCTTGCTGTCTTGCCTCTTTACTTAAGAAATTAGGTTTCTGTGCATTTCATTCGGAAACAATGGCTATAAACTGATGACACTGTTGGCTTTTTAAGAAGCTGAAGATAAAAAAACGGCAGGTGACATGCATAGGAGACCAGAGCCAAGAAAACAACCCTCCATGGTATATACATTAGTACAGGATATCGACAAAAGCTTTATTATTCCTTCGTGCTGAAACTGAAGGAGAAATTCAGCCTGACAATTGTTCTCTGTTCCAATGAACTGTTTCTTTCACAGCACTGCCCCTGCCAGCTTTCAGCAGGTGTTTTCACAGGAATGGCCATTTCTCTCACTAGACACTTTAAAAAAAAAAAAAAATCTATATTCAGAAGACCTTCTCATCATACAAACTACAAAGCCAGCGAGGTTGTCACCTGAAACTCAGATAAGGTTAAGCTGTGCTGATCATTTGACTGATTCTCCTTCCAAAAAGTGCTTAAACAAAATTTCACATCATTTTCAAATAACTTGTTGCCTGATGACTGTTTATGTCACCAGCTCTAAGGCTTCAGATGACTGGATTCTTTGTGATTCAGAAAGCTAAAATCTCCCCAGGTATTTTCTTTCCACATTTTTTAATCTGCTTGAATAAGATAGGAGTGATAAGGCTTTTTTAAAGAAGCACATAAAATCTCAAACCATCAAGAAATATGAGATTCCACATTACAAATCTTTTAGCTTCCCATTTCAATTCATTAATTTTTATAAATGGGAAAAAAGATAATGGACGGTGCCTGGGGAACTGAAAAGCACTCCTCTGCCAAGTGGTACCAGTTAGTTGATAATTAGACACTCGAATAGCTGCACTGAAAAAAACCCACATTCTTGCCTTATACTACACAAACCGTTCTCACTACCCTCTTACCACTTGTACACTGATAACTAAGTTAGCCCTGGAATATATCACGTAATCCTCTGACCACTCACCTGACTGTTAACATCCAGAATGCTTCACTCAAACCTCTGTAAAGGCCTATACCTATTAGGGACTGATCAGGTTACCTTTGTTAAAGGCTATGTGAAGTATGAAGCCCCACATGTAGTAAAAGCCAAGAGAATCTGTTTTTTCACCTACAAACCATTTTGACGCAGAAACAACACTAAGCAGAGTTGCTAAGTCAGGGTGAAGAAGAAAGCAGGAGTTACTACAAAGCACTTTGCAGTCTCACCAGTGCTGCAGAAAGCCAACTAACTCAGTTTTCACTTTCCCCAGCAAAAAGTAACCACAACGACTAAACCAAAAGGCACAGTTCTGTCTGTTTTGCACACAGAATAACTGTTCTGTAGCACAAGGAATGAGACACATATTCATACCCTGCACATTACCACAACAGGTGTTTGCTCCAGACCTCTGTTGTTCACTGATGGGATTTTCAACAGGTCAGGCTGGAAGGTTCCTCACTGTGGGCTTCTGCAAGAAGTCATTCAGGCCTCAAGTCTCATTTGATAAAAGCGTTGCCCAGAGTGTTTCTCTGGAGATTTTCTTTGCTTTTCTTCAATGACATAGTACAGCTATACTATATACAACCACCTTTCTCAAGGTTCTTGGACTCCACAAAATTCTGAGAATATGACACTGACTGAACAGATTTATGGCTATGTTTATGTTTTGTTTCAAAGCTCTTATTTTTATTTTTTTTCTTCTAGATGACAGTAACTTAATCAGCTCCTCAGGATTCCAAACTTAGCCCAGAACAAAGCTACTTAAACTTATTTTATTAAAATAAAAACAAGCTAAGCCAAATATGCACTTGAAGTGGGGAATTGTAACACTAACCAAATATATTGTATCTTGAAACACTCTCAATCTTCCCATAAGCAGGAAATATTAGCAGGATCACTAGATTCTTCCCAATCCAAAGAACAATGCACACAGAGGTTAAAGCCTAGAAGTTCTTTTAACGTGCATGTCCTTGCCAAGATCTCATTTCACAGCCCCCACTGTAATGCTTCTACCTCAAAGAGCTAGAGACTATTAGAGCATTTTAAAGCAGCTGTATTTGCAACACAAGAATCCACTTTTTCAACAGTGGTAACTTCTAAGCCCTGTCACATACCTCACCTGGTGTCTTTAGACACTTCTCCTAGGAACCATAGAAGAGACATTTACTTGAGGATCATCTAGTTGTAAAATATATTTTGTCTCTATCCAGTTAAGCTATTTTTCTTGCCTCTCAACTTTTATCATTGAGATGAGGGAATTCCCTGCACTCAGTCTCCCATCTCTTACCTGGATCGCAAAGACATAATTTCTATTATAAAAAACTTGCCACTGCCACTTTCAATAAGAATTCTTTCTGCTTAAATGTATTTTCTGTCATACAGAGAAGTAGGATTTAGTGCAATGTGCCTTTAGAAAGTGTAGCATGACAACTTATATAACCATTTTTCTTCCCAAGGAAATCTCAAGTGCATGAACAATATAAGCTGCAGAGAAGAGTGACTGCAATCATTAATGTAAAAGGACTTGCAGGATCATATATTTATTTAGAACACAAAAGAAAATTAATACAATGAAACATAAGTAGCTACCTCCACAGAAGTACAAAGTAATAGCACTAAATCTGATTTTATGTGAATTATGTAACAATATAGGCCTAACACATAGTAAGTAGGTGGTCTAGAATTACAGCAATGTTATGTTTAAGGCGATATACACTTCAAATACCTGTACAGTTGCTTCTAAGTAAAAATCATTACAGACAGAAGAGAAATTTGGCCAAGATACGAAATCTTTTCCCTACTGCAAGTCCAGCAACTTAGTAAGTAGGCATCCACATTGGCATCATGACCCTAACACAAATGTGGGCCAAATTCTGCCCTTACAAACACATGTAGAACTCAGCCAGTGAGAAAAGCCTGATTCCAGAAAACGGCTCAACTCAATCAACTATGCTTCTCATCCTATCAAGACTGTAATGAAAATGTAGTCAAAAATCTTACCAGTGTTCCATACCTCACACATAGCTTTATAATACATGCTCAGAAATCCACATGCACAACAAAGGAAAGAGAACAGGTCTTGGATATAAGGCAGATGAAACATTTGGCAATTTCTGTGTACAGTACCTTCAAATATAAAGTAGGAGCACCCTTAATATCACCTTTAGTAGCACTGTTAGTATCAGCTACCTACACACGTGGATGCTTGGTTAAAAACAACTGTAAAGGCTACCAGCTTAGCAACAGTAAGACAAATGCATTTATATAAACAAATCTGAGAGAGCTGACCAAAAACCTAACCAAATGTTTTCATATCAACATAAGTAAAAGCAAATTTCAAGTTGCAAGAACAAAGACAAAAGAGAAATCTATATTGAAGACATAAAGCCATTCTTCCTTCAAGCAATAATAAGCAGCAGTCCTTGTACTGGCTGCAAGTTCAAAAAGATGTACTCAGAAAGCTCAAGAAAAGAAGTCATCATCCAGGGTGTGCTGCACGAACCCCCACATGTTACTGAATGACCTCAGTGAACAGTCAATCAGAACACTGGCATAATCTTTCCTATTGTCCCAAGCAAACATGAGAATTTATGTACAGACTTTCTCTGTTCTGTTGCTGTCCAACTACATCATTACAGAAAGTTGTTGCTACTATTTATTACATGCAGTTGCAGGTAGCTCGTTTGCCTTTTTTTTTTTAATGCTTTTTCCACAAAATAATAGACGCTTGAAGATATAAACACTATAAGAAAATTCTAAGACTTACCTGTCCACAAGGAGCATTTTGCAAGGATACGGTAAATGCTCCAGACGTACGGCTCTTGGCTAGAATGTACTGGCAGGGAGCTTGGAAAGTGTATTTGCGCCCATCAAAGGTCATGAAATGAGTGTCTCCTGAAACCGAGCATTCAGCTGACAAACACAATAAGTAATGCGTTTAAGTACGCACCAAAGACAGTGCACTCTCAACAAGTACTACTGCTGTAGGGTTTATACACTGTGATAATATTCCATAACTTATGAAATTATATTCATATTACAACCAGGCACTAGGAACATAGTTAAAGAGCTGAACCTTATCCTTGCTTTTGTAATGGGGTTTGTACCTGATGCCTGGCTGGGATACCTCAACATCTCTTCCCCCAAGAAGAAGCAAAAATGTGCGTAATCCTTACATTGTGGGTATTTGATTTGTGGCTCTTAAAACTGATTTTCAGAAACATTAAGCACTCCCACTGTTAACTGATAAGCCAGCAACACTGAGTAAAATAAATTAAACTTGCCATAATGATGTCAAGTGAGGGCTGCAGTGAAAAATTTGGTTGAAAAAAATAAATGACCAGGTAGTGTCATCTACCAGAGACATTATGGTGATGTATGGGCTGCACTAAGCTGAAAGGCAGATGCCTGCTATTTAGATCATTTTAATATTTAATCTACTTAGTCTGTAGATGCATTTATATGTAGATGGAAATAAAATGCAAATTATGTAGTGAAATATCATAATATTTTACCTGAAGAACTCAGTTATCAAAAAGTTAAGTATTCAAGACTTTCACATACCTGGACACGTAAGATTTGTACAGATCCACTTTCCTCCAATGCAGGTGCTGAAATCAAAAAAAAAAAAAGGTTTCATACTTTTATTTTGTGAATTACATACAGTTGTCCCTCAGTTGTTCTTCCTGGATTCCTTCCCTGTGAAATGAGCACGAAGTGTCTTGCATCTTACAAAAGGGTACAGAGATATCACAGTCATTAGAATGCCTGAAAGCTGTGGCAAGAACTTGTCATGAAGATACAATAAGCTGAAATTTCATCCATGCATCCAGTAACTTTCATTACTTTTTAGCTCCTTAATAACCATTAAAAAAGTTAAGGAGTAATAAAACTGAGAAGAAAAAACACAAGCAATTTGAATCCTATGACTTAAAAATAGAACTCTTGTGGAAAAAAAAGATGTGCATCTGCAAGCTCATCCATTTTCTTCAATAAAGGTGATCCAATGAAAGGCACTTTCTCTTCCTATGGATTTTTCTTTCAAATGTATAAAATTACCTTATAAATTCTAAAAAACATCAGTTTAGTGTCACATTTACATTAGGCTTGTTGTGTCCAACTGAAATAGGCCTTGAAGAAGTTGTCTCTTATGACCACGAAAGGATGAAGTCCACAGCATAAAAAGCAAAACTACTCACCAGTTATTACATTCCTCATAAACCACCGAACCCATTTCAAAGGAACTTCCATGGTAGTCACAAGGACAGTCCATAGGTTTGACACACAATTCATTTTCATAAATTAAGCCTAGAATAAATAAAATAACAAGAAAAAAAGAGAAATATCCCTACAAATGACTGACAGAGCACTACTAAGTATATGCAAGAACAACACAAATAGTCTTGCATGTAATATACTCTAGACTAATAGTTAGTAACTGTCACCAAAAAAAGGGTGCATTTGAATTATATTTAATAAATTATATTACATGGATCAAATCACTAAATTGCCTGAGATACACTAAATATAGTATGAATAATAAATATTTAATACTGGGTGAGAGGGGGAGGAAACCACACACACAAAAAAACCCCAAAACTAAATACACAAGCCACACTTCTTTGAGAACCTTTGGCTTATTTTTTAAACACATTTACAAATCTTTGCCCGTTTTAAGGTCCTTATTTTACTGAAACAGGTTTTTGCTTTGGTGTTTTCTGGTTGGTTTATTATTTTGTTATTAGAGAGCCAGAAGCTAAAAGGCTTTACAACCCATAAAAAGTAAAATGATTAATAAATAATAAAGATGATCAAACTTATAAATAATCAGGGTACATATAAGAGGCATGACTTGAAGATCCATGGCATAACTTCCTCTATCCTCTTTTATATAGAATTATGTACCCAAGAGAAGCCAGTAACTAGAGGAAAACTGGACATCAATGTCTGTTTTGGTGAAGAGGGTAAAGTTTTGCTATAGGCCACACTGTAAATATGTCACTTGCCAGAACCATACAACAGTGTAAGAATCTCAGTATGAAAACCTGTTTATGGCCACATGGATGAGTTTTACTTATGGCATGTTTTTGAGCTCTCCTAAGCTCTGTAATCTTGCAGGTAGTCTTCAGGAAAAAAATGCAGAAAAAAAAAAACAAAAAACCAAAAAACAACAAGCAAACAAAACAAACCCAAAACCCAACCCATCAAAATAATCCTCCCTCTCCTCAAAAACCAAGCAGCAACCACCACAATCAGGAGGATGGCTGTCCTGTAACAAGAGAGCAAACACCATTTTTCATTCAAACTGTGGGTCTGTACAGCTAGAATGGGTATCTGTGCTGAAATCTATTGCTACTTGTTAGAAGGAGGAAAGGGTTGTTGTCAGTAAGGAAAATAAGGTCATTCATCCACACACCATTGGAACATCATTTATAAAGAGCTCCCGGGAATGCTTTAATCTAGTCAGGCCATATAGAGACAAACTTGGGGAAGAACAACCTCAAAGTTACATGGAATTAAAGAATACGTATTTGAGAAGCAAAACTTACCATCTGGACAGTAGCATCCATCAACACAGGAAAGCTCACTGTCAATGCACTGTGATTGCTGATGACATGAAACAGGACAGCAGTTGATGCATTCATTGTAGGTCAAGGGTTCAGCACAGGTAATGACTAAAAAATAGAAACAGGTAGAGAAAAGGTATTGTGGTAATGCCTCAGGGCTTAAATAGATTGCTCATATTTCTTTCAGGTATCTACTTTTTGGCAAGTCAATTGAGTATCTGTTGTCTAGAAAAATGCCTTTCATAACACACACTCATGGAATTGATACATATTTATATATATTCACATTTTGTCCATTAAAGGTGCTTTAAGAAGGAATAATCTTAAATTACACCAAGGGAGACTCAGAAATTTTCTCACAGCAGAGCTATTCAGATACTCAGACCATCACAGTCAGAACATCCATTAACACAGATTTTTGGAATCATAGGGGAAATCTGTCCTGGATGACAAAGCAGTTTGGGTCCTGCGTTACAAGCAGGTGAACAAATCAGATAATCTCTTTCAAACTTACTTTACGTGACTTATATAATGAAGACTTATGCAAGTGTAATTTGAATTTATTTTTAAGACTCATGACACACATATCAGAAAGCCATGAAGATTTGGACATTTGAAAGAGTAGTTCTATGAAAATAAAAATATCTGATTTAGTAAGAAGGCTCCTAAATCACATTGTAATAAGCTTAGTACTTTAAATACATTCAGTACAAATTACACACATGAAAGAGAAATCCCATCTCATTTATGTAGCCTTGAAGGAGTTTCATTCACTCAACGGTTTCATTAAGAGCTATATGAATCCAAAATAAGAGGAAGGACAATAAAGTAAAACTATGAAGAGCATCCTTTTTAAAATACAGCTGATAAGCAGCGCTTCCAAGTACGAAAGCATCTACGTACCACACTGCTCAAAGTGCACACGCCATCCATGAAGTGGCTTTCCTGCTTGGGCACATGCTCTGGCATATTCAGTTAGTGCTCGACACCAAGTTGCATTATCAACTGCTGACCTTACACGAATAAAAATTGGCATATTATTTTCTACCTACATTCAAACATGCAATCATAACCTCATGAATGCTCCTGCATTGCGTACAACCATCTTGTTTGAACCTACTTTAAAACTGTACTGTGTTGGTGGTCTAGGTTAAAAGTCTTTAATGGATTAGACATTCTGCCACACTTGAAGACACATCGTCAGTATGAATATCAATATATTTGAGACCTCACACTAATTTCTTTAATAAATCCATGAAAGACAGACCTACAGCAGTATTAACAGACTTGAATAAAGATCTTGAGTTTTATTAAAGGGCTAACACCCTGCAGAAAATTCACAAGGAAGTGTAAGATTTCCAACAGTGAGTCACAGTGGTACTGCGAATGGAAATTACCTTCTGTCCTGCCTGTTGATTTAACTGGTAAAAACTGCTTGGGCAAGGAGCATAGCAGATAATGATATGTTAGCATAAGTTCAAATAGTAATCAAATTTCTCTTTACAGTGGATTACCATATGGCTTGCAGGTGCCAAAAATGACCTTTTCACTATTACTTTTCATTATAGTAATACTATACTAATACAAAGGATGTTGCACACTCAGAATCAAAACAGATGCCATATTCACAGGAGATACATTAACAAATTATGAAGATATCACAGCCTGACTTTGGTCACCCTTATATCAAAGAAAATAGGAACTCCACAGTGTTCCACTGCAGTAAAATAGAACAAATGAGCAAAGACAAAATAATAATGTTAGATAGAAACAAATATGCAGAAAAAGACACAAATCAGTTCCGCTAACATTTACAATTCATTCTCATGATAGAAGGACTTTTTTTTTATAACAGCTTTGTTACCAAAACATTCACTTACATGCAAAGATCATTTGTGCAGCTTGCCATAAAAGAAAGAGGACTCACATATTCATGACATTGTTTAAATGGGGGATGTAACAGGATATTACACAGAGCATATGTCCTCTGAAATGAAAGAGACAGTTGTTGTGAAGTTTGTAAAAAATAAACATAAGATGAATATTATAGAATACTACAGAAAATCACAACAGACATCTGTGACTAGGAATCACTTTCCTCTCACCAGCTAGAAGCAGTGTCTAGCAACATATTGCTCTACATGCCAGAGTATCCATAACCAGTATCATACCAGTGAAGTAAAACATATTCCTTCCCCAAGGAAACTACAACTAAGCCAAAATAACCTGAAAAAGGTCTTCATTTTAATTAAATTACACAGTAACAGGCAAGAGAAATAAACCATGCTTGTCATCAGCTTTAGTTTCAAAGTACTTCATTTAAGGGTTATATCCCGGAAATACTACTTAGAAGGAAAAATTACTTCCGTGTTATGGACAAAAGTAACAATAATTCGTTTTTAAACACTGACGAATTAACTGTGCTCTCATTCTAGTTTTGCGTCCCTGCTTCTTTCTATGCTTCCTGAGGGAAGGAATGGGAACTAGCTCTAGAACATAACCCTATTTTACAACTTTTCACTCATTTAGCTTCATATTCAAACACTTCTATTGGCTGCTATGCAGATAATATAATATTTGAAAAGATCAAGAAATACAGAAGAAAAGGGGAGGCAGGATGAGATGACAAGAGATGATCTGCTGCAGCAATCATTTTAATTCATCTCTCCAAAGAGCTTTGACTATTTCCAGTGAGATTGAATATTTCCAGTTTCCTTCAAAGCACTAAGTCAAACTCTTGCTCTAATTAGAATCACCAATTATTGTAATAATATTTTTGTGTTGATCCAAACCTGTAGAGATTCATGGGTTTGTGTCAGGCACGGTGGTTCATTGAGAAGAGATTTATCCCAGTTGGGTGTTCCTTGTGGAGGATTTTCCTGCCAACTCTCTACAAACTCAGTTACATCATCTGTCAGTTTTCCTAAACAAGACACACACATACAGTCACACAGTAACTTGGAAGAACAACAATGTTTCTATAGGATTTCCCAGGGAAACATCTCAATAATCAAAACACATTAAGAAGAGAACACCCAACCCTTCCTACTACTAAATGAATCAGCTGAAATCAATCTGGTACTTCCAAGAAGCAAAAAATACTTTTAAAAGGAACTACAGGAGGGGTTTTAGAATAGCAGAAGGCAGCTTACTCCAGCAATTTGGCAAGGAAGGGCTTTAAGTGAGGAGGGCTGTGCCTCCCTTAGGCCATCAATTGGAAAAAAAAAAAGAGCTTTAATAAACTGTATATATATAGGTCTATGCTTCTATTTTATATGAAACTCCTAACAGAGAGTGTAAAACCGAAGAAAGATGAGGCATTCATGGGTCATTGCAATAGTTCAAAATGATTGTCTGCATTAGCCAAGCAGGGTGTGACACTTTCACATAAGTAGAAGTGTTCACACTAGAGTGAAACTAGCTAATCATTATTACTATCATCCATCATGGACAAGTGGTGGCACTGATTACTGTTTGGATTACCCACAAATGCATGTCTTGCCATATCTTCATGGCAACTGCTCCCCAAGGTAACTGGATGAAGCTCATATGTAGTGTATTGACTTGTGAAACTGAGTGGCCTGTACAAACAACAGAGGAAACCTAGCACATCTACTCTGAGTTTTGGAGTAGAACTCTACAGAAACACCCTAATCTTAAAGGGGAGCAAAGAGCTAAACAGCCCAAAGCAATGATTTCCAGAAGTTTTTATAGCCTAACTTGAAATACCTTTCAAGAGACCTGTTCTTTTTTCCCCTGTTTATTTTATTGAGGTCTTCACTCAGTATTTACTGAAAGCCAAGACTCTTGGAAGTGTCTGAAGTTAATAATGAAGGATCACTAGTCAGTTCTGAGAGTGTTATCATAAATGAAATGCCAGATCAAAAAGGATTCGACAGTTTTCATTTATTTGATTTAGTAATTATTGATTTATTTCCAATATCAATATCTCAGGCTTCCACAGGCTGCACAATTGCTAAGAGAACAGCAAACATTTAAAACCAGATTTTACCTTTCAGGTCCCAGGAAACTGAAGTACAAATGCCATTGCAGGTAATTGAGCAAGACAGCTTTTTTAAGATGTTCCTTCCCAGAGCCCCAACTGTATTCAAACTGGTCCCCTTCACTAACAGTATCATCTACCAGAAGTATTTCCACATCGTATTTCCCATTACAAAAGTTGCTCATCCTAAATTCACTTAGCATTATAATTAAAAACTAAGCAAAGTAACATTTATTTCACCTGAAAAAAAAAAAACAACCACACATATTATACATTATACAACAGGAAGCATCTTAAATACTCACCATAACTAGTTTCAAGGTCATCCTGCAGAATAGCATTATTGTTTCCACACAGTCCATGTGTTTTGCCCAAGTACTCTGGTGCCATTTTGATGTACACTGCAGATGTACCATCCCATGCCAGAGTAAAGGCATACTGGTGCCTGACTAGGAAGTATCCAGCTAGTTTCTGGATGTGTAAGTTTCCAATAATATGAGGTAATCGTACTCTGAAATGACACAGAATCAAAAACAACATTACATTAGAAAATATAACCATTAAAAATAAATTATTTGCTGATGTAATGACTTCCTCACGCATCTGAAAATTCCTGATGTAAATACCGACTAACTCCACTAAACCAAATGAAGTTGCAAACAACAGCAAAAATCAAAGTATGAACATCAATGGTTATATTTCTTAATACTGTATACCACCAATTCAGGTATCACCTTCCTCAGACACCACTCTGTAGATGAGAAGTAATTATTGCATTTGTGATCTGGATACTTTTTCAAGCTACCAACAAATAAGTTTACATCTTTGCTATCAAAATGTTACCATGACATTAATTCTAATGTAACTAGAGCATCAGAAACATGATTGGACTTACCCAAAGCCTTTATAGGTGACTTCACTGCTCATCTTTATCTGTTCATCTCCAGAAAAGAATAAACTAATGGACCTTTTGCAGGAATAAGGAGAAGAACGGCATTCAGGATCATTATTCACCTGCCAAATAAAAACACTAGTGTCAAAATCAAGTTTTTAATCAAATTCTTTGTAATCCGCATGTCACACAACTAATACCCCCAATCCCACACTCAGCAGTGAACAAGTAGTTTGGTCCCACTCTAGCACAAAAAACTGAATGATGTTTTCATAGCCGTGGCCTTTTCGCAGCTTTGTGCAAACAAAGCAAGCTTTGGTAGTACACACATCAGTTTTATTCCAGTTGTTTATATTCTGTGCTGTGGTAACTGGCAGCCCACAACACGTTAGAATTACATCTACCTTACATTCTACAACCCCATAGTATCATCTCAAGTAATTTTTAATCTCTTAAAATTAATACATCATTAGCATGTCCAATAACATGTAAAAGGAATGTAGAAGCATGGTTCCCTACCTGTATGGAGAAGCTCTGTTCATCTACTTGAGCATGTCTCACAAGTGCGTATGAAGATTTCCCAGAAAAATAATAATAGAGTCCATCAAAAGTTTCAAAATTATACTGGCCCCATGTTCTGCATATATGATCTCTTTCAGCACCTGTGTTATATACTAACAAAAGGAGAGTCACTTTAGACATAGCACTGGGTTTTTTTTTTTTATTCATACTCAAGTTGACATGGTGTCGTATATGTGGCGTGCTGTGAAATATTATCACTTCGAATAGAGTGATAATATTTCGGAGAGAAAAACACTAGAGCACAAAGGAATCTTTAGGCAGAGGGTAGTCATTCTTGTAGCTGTGGGAACCCAAGTACAATCTCAGAATTGCAGTTAGTTTTCTCTTTTTACACACCTGTCTGGCATCTCGGTCCAGTTGCATTAAATCGACTGCAGTTGCACAGCTCTCTGTAGACACACTCACCTCCATTAAAACATGTAAATGAATCTGAGTGGAAAAAAACCAAGGCATATTAAAAATAAATAATGATAATTTTCTTTCTTAAGACCTAGTGCTTTCACCAAAGCTGAAATTCACTACATGAATGACAGGAGAGGCTGACTTAGCATTAAAGGGTCCTGCAGAATCCAACTGGCCTCCACAAAAAGGAAAAATACTGCGAAAGCCTTACCTCAAAACAGACATCCAGTTTAGCAAATACATTACAGATGTAGAGAAGCCAAATCAAAACGACTGTTCCATGTGTTAGTCTGACATGTTTTCAGTCCCCTAAGCGATGAATACATGAAGTGAACAAGTACTGCACCAAAAAAAAGCAGTGCCTATATCCTTACTTATACTAGTAACACCCTATGGGTAAGCTCTGCCGGGATGAGAGCAAATACAATACATTAGAAATACAAATGTTCAGATGCCAGCTGTATATCTTTCACCTGCCTCTCCTCCTTGTATCTTGCAGCTTCTAACTATGCGAACCACAAACACTTTCCATAAAGACACAGATCCCTGACTTGCAACTTGACAGGTTTGGGCTTGGGGCAGGGAGGTGCTGGGTTTTTTATTTTCCCTGGGAAGATCCCCATCAAAATATGACCAAACAAGTTTTCACAGTTTAAGGAAAGATGCGCACAAGCAGAAATAAAGTTTCTTGCTACTAAATTCAAACTTTGTGCTTGAATCTTTTTTTAACAATTATGATCTATTCACTTATTTTGCTAATACTTGTTCTTATAAAGTTTTATTAGGAAAGGATTTGAATTTTAATAATTGCCTATTATATAATTATGTAATTTTTGCACTTTAGAACACAAATTGAGATTGCATTTGCTGCAGACAAGTTGCTCAGAAGAAACTGTTTCAGGAAGAGACAAACTAAAGACTCAGCCTTCTTTATCTTTATAAACACATCATTCCTGAAAAATAATCATAGAACCATAGAGTGGTTTGCATTAGAAAGGACCTTTAAGATCATCTATTCCAATCCCCCTGCCATAGGCAGGCACACCTTGCACTAGACCAGGTCACTCAAAGCCCCATCCAGCCTAGCCTTGAACACTTCCAGGGATGGGGCATCCACAACTTCCTTGGGCAACCTGTTCCAGTACCTCACCATCCTCACAGTAAAGAATTTCATCTTAATATCTAATCTAAACCTACTCTCTTCCAATTTCAAGACATTATCATTACGTCATGCTAAATACCATAATGTTAGAATGAGGAAGACATCAAGAATATTACAGCAAAATACAATTAAAGAAAAATGCTTACGTGTTCATCTACTTAAAGCCATGTGATTTTTACAAAATACTATCTTCAGTTACAAGTTTACAGAACCCTTACTAAGTTTCGACAAAATTTGACAGTAGATTTCATTAGTGCTATTTCCATTTGCAATCATCTTAAAAATACTAATGAGTTACTTGAAGACTTTAAAAATATCCAAACCATTAATTTTGATACCTTTGTTTTCAACATGCACCCCACACATACACTGGGAAGAAAAAAAAAAAAAAAGAAAAAAAAAATAGAGGCCATGCTGAAAAGAACAAAGCAGGTAGACAAAGCAAAAGGCAATGCTCCTTTCCCTGTCTGGCCAACCCAAGTTCAATAAAAACTAATGCAAGCAGCATGTAGAAAGGTTCCTACTTACTCTGACTGAGCAGTCTCATTTACATACTCACAGTGACCAATCTTGTCAATAATGCAAAAGCCTTGTTCCTCTTGTCAAGAGAGGCAGACATTCTGCTCTTTCATCTTGAGCATTGTGAGACTTGAGTAACCAGAGCTCAGGCCTCCATTCTTTGCTTCTCTAAGATTCTGCCCTATTGCCTGTCCAGTTACAATGATGTGCAATTAGACTGCAAGTCATGTTCCTCTTGGCTGTAGAGGAAGTTAGCCCCCTTTTGATGTTTCAGGTTGAATGATTCCCCTCTAAGTGTGGCTCAGGTAACCTGCTTCAAGCCATGTATATTCAGATTGTGAACACAGTCAGCTGGCCTGGGGGCCCTTGTTGTCATCAGGAAGGATCTCCCTGGCTCTCTTTTAGAGAGAAAGGGAGTTAAATCTGAATTGGAGGTGAAATGACTCAGTGATGAGTGTTTTCTTCTTTACAAAGTTTTCTTCTGAGTATGTAAGATTCTAAGAAAATATAATAATCATAGCTCTTGTATTTCTTTATATCCCTGTTTACATCACTGTAAAGTATGTTTCCTTACACTGCATAGAAGAGCTGTGTGTGAAATAATAGTTATCCTTAGACATGTACTGAGAAAAGCAGCATTGTTTCAGATCACATTTAGTGCTCCTACTACTGTAAACAAAGTGGCCTCCTTCAATCATATAACTCCACTCAATTAACACAGAAATACTTCCTATCAGGAACAAATTCTGATCTTTGTCATTAAAGGAATATAAACTCCCTAAACAAGCTAATCCATATGACCATGTCAAATGGAAAAGTTTATGGAAAGGTTATGTCATGTCTGCCCCAGAGATGTGAGAAACATTTTAATATCTGCAGAAAAGGAAAAAACATCAAGACTAAATGAAAACTAGAAGTGGGAAAAGTTATGGAAGAATATTGTGGCTTTCATTTACCTGAAAGTGACACCTACTAAAAAGTTCTCAGCTCCTCTTTCCCCTTTGACATTATGCCAGTTGAGCGCATTGGGTTGGAATCTGAAACTGAAAACTTGTGAGACTTTTCTAGCAGAAAATGGTAGGCCTAAGTAATATGATTTGACTCACATAGGTAATTAAGGGATTTCTAACCTGTTGCCACTACAACCTGCAGAATATGACCACTGCAGTCATGAAGCTGCTCATCCCAAATTCCCTCTTAATTGAGCAGGATCATCTCGTAACACAGGCCTGAATTCTTCTCTCTCCTCACAGCTTAAATATTCTAATCTGGTAATTACTAAATAGGCTGCACAATATGCACATAGGGTTATATTAGTCCCTTGGGTGCATGAACCTCCTTTTCAGTTCATCCTCCTTTTAAATTCTTCAGTGTCGGGCAGTAAGAGCCTCGAGGCCAGTGCTGCCACTCTAGAAGCAGTAGCTGGATCTTAAATCCATTATTTATCAGAGCCTTTGAAAAAGTGTGACTGTAACGTCGGCTGTTTACACTTCACTGCAAGGGTTTCTGGAGATTAGTGTCCACCTTCACACAAGTGACTACTGCTTATGTTCTCTGAAAAGACATGCTTTAGGAGCATCAGGAAAACTGTCCAAAGCCATCTTGCATCTTCATCAAAATACACATTTATTTTGAAATATTATTATAGATACATGTATTGCACCTATGATATTGTGCACACAGTTTACTTTACTTTCTTGCATTACTTCTTCTCTAACGAGTACTTAAGACCTCTTGAATTTATTTCAGTTGCAAATGAACTCTATGTCCTGGCTTGCTTATCCATGATTTATTCTTCTGATCTAATGTCTACGAAGAATAAAATAAGCACAGCTCAGAGTAATTTATATAGTGTGAAGCCCTTCAGCATGAAGTGAGATACAGTCACTAAAGAACCACTCTTACCCCTCAGAGCACAAAGATCTAACTGCAAAGCAAGCATGTATATGTATTCCACACAAAAGTTAAGATACTAAATCAAAGAGCCATCTATTGCACTTTCATTCAAGAACACAACTGACTACTGAGATTACCATGCACATCAACTTTGAAATAGTTGATTTTGCTTTAACCGTCATGTGAATACAGATGCTCCAACTCAGTTTTGACCTCACTGTAATACACCTTTATCACCAGCACACCTAATTCTTGAAGAGTTATGGCTGAGGTGGACTTTCCTCTAGGTTATTTTTCTGTAAAACATTAAGTACTTACTAGTGTTGAAATTCTGTGTTTTGTTACTGGTTTTTAAGACACGGCATGAAAAAAAAAATTAGTTTAATGCAAAGCAATAGAAACAGGTTTCTCCTCAGAATATCGATTACTAGATTCACTTGGACAGAAAAGTTTAAGTATGAAAGACTAATTTAGAGATCTGAAAGTGATAAAGTTTTACTTAAGCAAGGTAAATACAAGGTCCAACCTATGCCCTCAGTTCATATGATTGTGCCTATACATCAACTTTGACCCAAACAGTTTTAGAGCCCCAGAGAGTCATTTACAGAAATAGACAAATAGAAAAAGAAATATTTTTCAGGATTCTTTAAAAAATGACATACATTAAAATTCCATGCAAGTGTAGAAGGGAGGGTTGTCTGAAGGTAAAATACTAAAATGATCAATTAATTAAAAATTTAATTTTATTCTGAAATGGAAAAGTGAAAAAGAAAAGCAGATCAGGATAAGAATTTTCAAGAAGCTTACGTTAGACCTAGAGTCACACATTAAAAAAAAAGTAAAGTTATGTTTAAAATGGAATATTTAAATTTTTGCTGTCAACATTCTGTAAATTTTATGTTTTGTAATTCTGCATAATTTCCATCACATACTTTCTCCAGGTGCAATCTTTCACTGCCTTTGACTGTGGAGAAATAACACAGCAAGTATTTCTTGCATTATCTTTTGCCTTTCAACTTCATAGTCTGTGAAAGCATCTGCCTGCAATATCTGCCTACAGTGGCAGGCAGATGGCACATGCTTCCACAGGATGCAATACAGCCCTGGGCCACGCTAGGATCTAAAATTTTCTTCGGGATTCTGAGGTGAATGAGTAGGATGCAATTTTAACCTTTCAATTCCAAGACCCTTCCAGTTAGCTGCAGATGTTCTGCTCCTGTGCATCTCCTCAAATCAGTCTTCAAGCACACATTGTAAGGGACAAGTATCTTCTATGGTAATAGTGACTCCTGCCTGCTACTGCATTTCAAGACAAGAAATTTGAAGTGTTTAACATACTATAAATTCCCAGCAGTAGTTTGAATACTTCCACAAATAATTTGTTTTGCCTGTCCCAGGTTCTTTATATGCTTATATATTAGCCCTGCAGTTTTCTGTTTGGGGTTTGGATTTTTCACTTCATTTATTGTTTTTTAACTTTGCACAAAGAACAGATTTGTGCCAAAAAAAGTTCAAACTTTAACAGCTATGTAAACTATGTGTTTGTCGATTATTATGATAAACATTTTAAATGCCATGCTCCCTAGGTAGAAGAAACTAACACAAGAATTTATCTCTTGGCATTTGTTTGTGCTGTAGCAACTTTTTTGTTTCATTGACAGATAAGACATGACCTCACTTTCTGAACTGCTTTCAGTTGACTAATATTACACAAAGGTAAAGAGATCTATTGCACAAATCATGCATTCATTCCACATAAAACATGTTGGTTTATCTCCATAGAGCAACTGAAAGCAAGAAAAAATATTCTTGCAAAAATAATTGCCTGTGATTATAATGAACTTATATTTCATTCTATTATAGTTTTATTTCAAAGATTATTTTGTTAGAGACATTGCTAAACTAGGGAGAGCAGCTGACAGCCTACCTTGCTGTTCTGTTTTGGGGTTTTTTTGGATTTGTTTCTTGTTCTGGGTTTTTTTGGTGTTTGGTGAGTTGTTTTTTCAACAAAAAAAAGCATTACTATTTCATACATCCTCAAATGGATGCAAATCCCAGTACATGGGCAGATTTATAGCAGCTTGCATCTCTTCAAATTGGAGAGGCCAAAATGAAACTATTTTTCTAAGTATTTGGAGCATGATACCTAAACTCTCGTATGAAGCAGATCAGGTTATTCTTTTGTTTTGTTTTTCAATATGTCTTTCACATGCAGACAACAATGGATTCCATTTCCCACACAGAGTTTACTGGAATTTAAAAAGGAAACTTCCAGGTCTGGGTATTACACTGTTTAAAAAGTTTAATAAGACTAATTTTATTTGCCTTCAAGTATGGGCAATCATTAATAACTTTTAAAGCAGGTCTTCAACAACATTGTCTTTCCAAAGCAAGTCCATCAGAAATGGAAAATCCACACGTAATATTTTTCCCTCATAGAAATAAGAGTTGGAAAAAAACAAAAAGGCTCTACTATTACATCTGCAGAGAGCAATGAAATCTATTTTTGCCATTGTAATTGCATCCTCCTTTAGAAGCTTAGACATGTGATGAGTTACCATGAGAAATTTTCTACCCATTTCATTCTCCCTTGTTCTAATTTTTTTCTCCCCTTTCTTAAATATTAGGCCTATTTAAGAGGCAATAAACTTGCACATAAACCTTTGCAAGAGTTTTTTAATAGAAGTCTTGCAAAGGGTTTATGTACATGTGTTTTATTGCACACTTGAATGGTAACATAACGTATCTTAAAAGGTTTTTTTCCCCAGCTGGTTGCTCTGAAGCAAAAAACGAAATCTACTAGTCCCATTAAAGGAGTTTTGACTAGAAAAAAATAAACCCAGGGAAACAAATGATTATTATGGCAGCAAAATTCTCAGCATGATTTGCTTATCTTCTCTTTGTAAGCTGCTTTATTTAGTTTTTAAAAAATGAAATCATAAGTACTTCTTGGTCAGTAAGCAAATGCAACCCTCAAAAAGAGGGAGTTTTACTAGTATAGAGTGCTATATTTGTAAAGCAACTTTATCATACGCAACATATATGACTTTTTCATATATTGGAGAGAGGTTCATAGGTAATAGTTCTTATTTGAGCAATACTATGTTTCTCTAAACTCTTGCACTGTTCCTCCACATCCAGCTGCACACTTCTCAAAAGCTTCTGCAAACAGTGTGTATTAAAGACATTAAAAGCTTTTGGAGATAACACAACCCTAACTACAATTGATGAGTCCATTCCACACATCTTGCCTTTTGTGCTATAAAGCTATGGGGTACAAATCCACACTATTCACTATCAGGTAGGTCCCACATCCAATGCAATCCATCAGGCTAACAGAAGAGAAACTAGAGGTTTCACATCACTAACTAAAACTACTAGGAATTATTTTGCCTCATACTTCTCCTCTGTACAGAACAAGCATAACATGGACCTTTCTGTACAGTTAACACAGAGGATCTTTACCCTTCAGCAAAGATATTTTAAGCCTGTCCACTTCATTCGTGAAAATAAGACGAACCAAAAAACCAACACACACATTCCTCAAGAAAATACCCACCACTGCAAGCTGGTGGCTAAGGCACCCTATCTTGCTAACCCATAGATTATACACACGAAGAGCATCCATAGATCACCTCAGCAAAAACATAGCAAACAAAAAACCTCCAAGCACAGCAAAGGTACAGGGCAGACAATTTAACGGCACCCAGCAGCAATCCACCTTTTTAGGTATATCACTACAAGAGCAGATTTCCCTAGTAAAAGCTTTTTATTAGAAAAACTGCAGTTAGAGACAGTCTTTCAAATGATCAAACCAGAACCAGGTATAAACCTAAAGTTAAGTTAAACCCCATAACAAATTATCCCACTTCTATGGAGCTTAGAGACTGATCAGAGCAGACCTCCTTTACCACAAAGACCTGTACTAGTTATTTTAGGGCTTTTTCTTTCTAAAAAATAATTAAATTATGCAGAAAATAAAGTTCAAGAGATTTCATGTGGAAACATAAATAACTTACTGGATGGTCCGCATTTCATACTGTGAAGTCTCCTGGTCCGAGACAGGGACATTGTAGTAGATGAGGTGTTATAAATTGCCATTTCAGACTCCTTTCAGAAAGAACAAATAAATCAGCAGCTATAACCAAGAAATTTAAAAATCTCTTCAGAGTCTATCAGTAAATTTACCAGTTTTAGTAAGCTCATTGCTTCATATTTGCTCACTACAACGTTATCAAAAAACTCAGTTGTGAAGTAAAAAGTACAGTCACTCTACTGAAGAGTGCAATAGTTCTTTTTTCTTTTTCCAGTCACCCAAACATATTTCTTACTGAAGATTCCTGCTCAGTAGGCTAACACAGAAGGAAACAAAGAGTCTATTGCTATTTCTTGAATTCTTAGGGGGAGAACCTCAATCTATTAGCATTTGCTGTTATTGATGGTTGATTTCATAACCTGTTTGCAGTTATGTGACTTTTTTTCTTTGCTGAACTTTTCCCAGAAAGAGCAGGAAGAAAGCAGAAAGAAAGGCAACTCCTCTGTGGAGCCACAAACAAGGACAACAAAGCAAACTTTCCTTTTCCCACCCTCAAACAAGGGAGTAGGAACCACACACCCTAATTACATTTCAGCAACGTGCCATGAGTGATATAGTCGAGTTGCCAAGATAAATCACATCCAAAAACCTGAGTGCTGAGCTGTAGTGATCTGATACTGCCAGCTCACTTACTTTTACTGAGAAGCAAAAAGGCTCCCACAAAGCAATTGTTGCTGGATGAGCCAGACCAGACCTCAGCTTTCCCTTGAGCAAGGATGCTTCCTACAAAAAACAGCTTTCTGAAGGAGCTGAAGCTCTAGATACAACCATACAGTTTTTCCTCATTGCTTAAACACTTAAAACCCCAAGTTTTCTTTCATTCATAAATGACGCTCCTCGTGAGTGGGATGAAATACACATTCGAGGACAAGTCTTTAAGAATTACAAAGAACAGCCACCAGAAATACTGATGGTATCACAGTAATGTACAGACGCATTCAAGCAAGATTTGAGAAGCACATTATCCTGATGACAGCCAGCACAGCCATCCCTCGATCTGACGCCACCTGCCCCCTCAGAGGGGTCTCGCCGGGCAAACCTGCCACCACCTGGGGCCACGAGCGACGGCACCGCATCACCTCATCAGCCCTGGTCGCATCGCGGTCGATGCTCTCCTCCCGGGGCTCCTCGGAGGGAAACTGCACATCCCAGCCTCTCCGAGGAGGTGCCGCAGCTCCCGGCCCCGCCGTGCCCGCCAGCTGCCCCATCACAGCTCCCTGCTCTCCCCCCATACCTGCATCGCCGCGGAGAGGCCCTCTCCTGTCCGAGGTCCCCCGGTGCTGCCTCGGCTGCGGGCAGAGAACAAGGCAGGGTTGGCTTGGCCCGGGCAGCCCACCCGGCCCGGCCCTCCCGCGGCGGGGAAGGAGCCCCGCTGTGCCCCGGCCAGCTCTTACCTGCGGAGCGGCACATCCCCGTCGGCAGGGAGCTGCGCCCAGGCGCCCCATGGAGACAAGGCTGGAAGGCAAAGGCGGTAGGTTAGCGATGGCCAGGACTGCCCTGTCCTCTCTGCCACCCTATCCCATCCCACCTCATCCCCGCGCCCTGCCCGGCAGGAGCTCACCCGACGGCAGCCAGGCGCACAGCAGCGCCCCAAGCACGAGCCGAGTCTCCATGCGGAACAGCTGGAGAACAGGTACAACTTCCCGGAGAGCTCCGGCCGCTACCTGCGCTTTGAGCTCATCCCGCCCTTCCGGGCGGGGCGGACTGGGGGTTTATCAGCCACCCGCCCTCCGCCCTGCCCTTCCCCAGCGCCCACCCCGGACACCGCCTCTCGCTGCGCAGCCCGGGGCTGGTTGTGTCCCTGCTGCCGAGCGGCCCCGCTATCGCTTCTCCCTTCTCCTGTCCGCCCGTGCCGCCGCTGACCTCGTCGCCTCCTCGAGTTTATTTCTACTTTTCCGCCTTTCTGGGCTTCCCTGCCAGGAGAGGCTTAGGTTGAATATTAGGAAAAAGTTTTTTACAGAGAGAGTAATCCGACGTTGGAATGGGCTCCCCAGGGAGGTGATGGATTTACCAGATGATACTGAATGTGGCACTTAGGGCCATGGTCTAGTAACCACGGCGGTGTTGGATCAAGGGTTGGACTTGATGATCTCGAGAGTCTTTTCCAACCCGGTTGATTCTATGATTCCGTGATTCAGGAAATGATTCGTGTCCCGGTGTCTGAGCGGGAGCCGGGACCCCCGCGGTGGGGTGCGGTTTAAGGCTGCGCCTCACCCCAGGGCGAGAGGAGCCGGGGCTGCTCCCGGAGCTCCTGGCAACGCGCACGGACCGAGCGCAGCCAGCCCGCGGGGAACCGCGTGCTCCCAGTGGGAAACGGCAAAGGTTGTCCGTGCTCAGCATGGAGCATTGGCCCCGACCCATTGAACCAGGTGTCAGGACTAGAGTAATGAAAGGCATGAGTAAAACATGAACTGAATGCAGCATGAAGCTAACCTGTATGGATGGTTTCCATAGCTTCTGATAAATTTTTTTTATTAGTATGAATTTACAATGTGGAGCCTTTTCCATATTTATTCCTCTTCTTTTTTCACTCTTTTTTTTTCCTTGTGATTAAAGTTGCTTCCTTACATTATGTTTCTTTGTTTTCTCTTCCCTCTTCCTATCACTGTTACCTTTTCTCTTTTCTTTTCCCTTTCCCATCTGCTGCTGTCTCTCTCCCCATCATTCTTCAGGTTTGCATATCTTATGTCAGAAGCTTTAGAAGCTGCCCATACCAGGTGAGAAACTGTCTCAGATGAAAAAGGGCCTTTTCTGACTGCTTTGAGAAGTCTGTTAACAGTAAGTCATTAAAAAGATCTCTTTTCTGCCTTTGTAATTTGTCCCTGTGTATTGTGTTTCTTGCTGCAACAAGGGTTTCATTTCTAATGAAATGATGGAAAACTAGCAATATTTTCACTGAGAATTCTGTTCTCTCCTGTAAGCGTTGGAGGGAAAATGCATATGAGAGAAAAGGAAGTGAGAAATAAAAGATATTCTTTAACACAGCCTCTTCCCAATAACTGCAAACAGATTTCTAGAATTATATGCTAGACTCTGCCTGCAGCAGAACCCATCTACTCTTGAGTGCCGCATGCACTTGGCTTTGGTGCACTTTCTCTGGTCCATGTTACATTAATGAAGTAGAGAAAGTAGATAAAAAGCCACAGGAATCAGGTTACTCAACACACACTTTAATGTATTTCTTTGCCTACTAAATGGGCTGCTCCTTTTATTCCTTTTCCCTTAATGCCACAACTAGCAAAGAAGAACTGAAACTAGTTTAAAGCCAATTTAGATGCAATTTAGTTTCTTCTTAGATAGGATTTAATTATCTAGAAATAATAAAGAGTCATAATTTTACCATCTTTTAATATTATATATTTGAAGTAATGAAGAGTTCAGAACCATGTTTAAAATTTACTGATTATGGAACTTACAGTTTTGGAGCATGGGATAGCTTTGTGGATTTGTTTCCTTTGTATTTATGCACAGTAAAACACAGGAATTCATGTAACAGCAGACCAACAGCCAATCATGTTTGTCATCCTTTCTGTGGTCTGTCCTTTACATGAGCATTCAGAGCACCTTTCACATCACCAGGTGAAGATTATTCCACAATCATTTACTACATGGAGGAGTTTCTGACTCCTGGAAAGTTCATCTGTATTGTAAAATCCAGTTGCTTTCTTTCAAATGTACATGACTTCAAGCTTGTGAAAGATCTATTCTTGTAAAGCCTTCTAGAAACAATTGGTAGATATCAGTACCGTTATAGTCTATATGTAAATTTAAAGGACATGTACAAGGGTTTTAATGTATCTTTTAGATTTCTTGTGTTTCCTTCTTTCTCTTTTCAAATATAAGACAATTTTGCTTTGCATATGCAGGGAAGTCCTATAGCAGTGTGTTTAATGCTTGGATAGAATAGCTTTTTGATATAATGTGGTACTTGAACTCAGGTAGGAGATGTGATTCATGTACTAGTAGTTGAAATTTTGAGAGAAAATTGTTTTCTGAAAACAATTGCATTTGTTTGTATGCAGGCTTAAAATGCATTCCTCCCTTATTCCTGACACCTGATATGAGAAAGAAGTAGTCTCCATCAAGTTTGAAATGTTCCAATACAGCAAAGCCATCTTCTGAAAGGGGTAAGAGCAATTTCTAAACAAGCTGGTATAGCTCACAAAAATTACCACACAGAAATAATAAAACAAAATTTGTATTTGACAGTGTAGGGGTATTTTTTATCATGCCTTTATATGTATTCCACTCTGTTGGAAGGAGGAGCAGGTAACCACCTGTGCTTAAACAAACCCTGTTCTCTCTGAAGTTATATAGGTAAAGGTGATTCTGCAGGGAGACAAAGGGACATACATTAGCAGGTGTCCTCATCTTGCTTCCAGTCCTGATTGCAGAAGTCTATAATTTTGTACAACAGTAGAATAAGCCCAGGGCAAAATAACATAAAAGGGATTAGTCTGAAATAGTCACCTTTTCAGGTGCTCCGAGTTTGATTCTTCTGCAGTTACTTACAGGGGCCGTGTCAGAGGCTCTATTTGTAAGCAACAATATTCTGTTAGTGGGAAAGGCTGGTGGAAATCAGAAAGTGCTACATTAGATTCGCCCTGCTTACGTTTAAAAAAATAGAAAAAAAATTTGAGGTTATTTACAATATGGTCATTTATTGAAGCAGATTTTTCTGTTTGCTTGGGCTTGGGTTTTGTTTGGATTTTGTGGGGGTTTTGTGGTTTTTTGTTTGTTTGGTTGGGTTTTTTTGGTTGGTTGGTTTGTTTTGGTTTGGGTTTTGTTTTTTTAATCCAGGTGTTAGTACGCTTTAAATTTCACATCTTGGTGCTTTTCTTAACTGCTAGGGTTAGTGACATACATACATACCTACAAATACAAGAGACAAGTCTGGATTGGGAGCTCCGTGCAGTACGAGAAGCACCGGTTGTAGAATCCACCCCAGGGAAAAGAGCAGGTAACGCTCCGCGGGGGGGTGCGTGTACGTGTATTATATTTTTTTTTTTTTTAATTTTACTTTCTCCGTCGTTTTGTCCTCAAACGGCCCCAGCCGGGGGCGGCAGGCAGATTACGATACCCCCGGAGCAGCGAGGCCGAGGATGCGGGAGGCGGCGGCGGGAGCGCGTCCCTCCCACCGCCCCGGGGCGCGGCCTCGCCGGCGCAGCCGCCCCGCCCGCACCCGCGCACGATGGAGCGCAGGGTCGCCCGAGAGTTCCGCCACAAGGTAAGGCAGCGGGGACGGCCGGGGTCGCCCCCCCGAGGCCAGCGGAGGCTGCGTGCAGAGCAGCCCCCCCTGGCCCGGGAGCGGCTCCCGGCACCGGGGCGGGCTGGCGGCGCTGCCGGAGGGAGTGGCGGGGAAGGGAGAAGTTCGGGGGACTTTGCGCGGAAAAGCGGGCGGCAGCCGCCTGTGAGAGGATAGTTAAAACCCCTAAAAAGGGAGGGAGAGAAAGGAAGAGCGTTTCCCAGCGCAGGAGCTTTTCCGGAGCTTGACTGAATGTGTTATGTTAATACCACGTCGCGCCCGGTCCAGCTCAGGGCAAGGCAGCAGCCCAGGTGCTGAAGTCCAGGCGCTGGCAGTGCCCATCCCAGCCCTGCGAGCACCCAGTTCCACCTTAACGTTCCCCAGTGCAATTGTGCATGTGCAGTCATGTGCAAATGCATTTGATACATGGAGCTACTCGGTCTGCCTGGCACGTCATTTTGTCATTTACCCAGTTAAATAAGTGCTCAGCAGAGCACAAAATTGTATGAGCAAAGGAAGCTCAAAAAGCTCTAATTAAGGAAAGGAGGAGGAAAATAGTTTGCATGTTTAAGAGATGTTTTTTGCGAAGCCATTTAGGACTCTCTCAGATTAAAATTTTTATTACTGCTTTGGGGGGTTGGGGTTTTGTTTGTTTGGGTTTTTTTGTTTGTTTGCTTGTTTTTATGAAAGAGGTTATAGTTGGTCTCGTTTGGTTTTTTTGTTTGAGTTTTCTTTTAGTCAGCTAGAAAACACAATTTCTTCAAAGTAACGTAATGTTATGTAGAAGTATCTGTCACCTGGTAATAAAGCATTAACTAAGAGATTGTTAGGTTGAAGTAGAGGGAATGCAAAAAACACTTTTACATCAAACTGAAGTTCAAAACCGTTAAGGACTGTAGCCATCTACCACATTATTTCTGCCTTGCTACCTATTACTGTATAACTCAGCAGTGGGTTGTGCAATGTATCTATACAGACTCTGTTTTCTAGGCAGATGGTTACCAGCTTGAACTTTAAACCTTTTCCCTTTCATTGGTGCTATAATTCATACATCATTCAAGTCCCACCCCGATAACGTAAGATGTATTTTCAGCTTTACTGCAAATAGGTAGGATGCAGATATAAGTGGAAACTTTATCTTAGTTAGAGGATACTGTAACAGATCTTTTCTTTAAATTAATTTGTATCATCCTGCTTCTAGTGGCCTCTGTTGCATCCAAAGGCTTGAATGCTTGCTTTTTCTATGACAAACCAGTAAAAATGTTCTGCCATAGGATCTGAATTTTCTTTGTCATTTTCTTTTTTCTTTTTCTTAGAAATTTTAATCAGTTTTCCCTATCAACGAAGTACCAGTGTAAAGTATGTAAG